AAAATAGCTGGATTAAGTTGTCTAAGATTAGTGCATGTTCTTGTGTTCCCCCTAAAGCGCAGATGTATCAATACTCGAGACCACGCTCAGCAGTGCAGCGATTGGCTCATTTGGCTAGCGTCAAGACAGCAACAAATTTTTCTTCTTCTTTTTGTTCAATGGCCGTTCACTCCTTAGGAGTATTACCGCCACCTACTGTATATCTTCCGCACATGGGTGATGAATCTGTACTGAAAAAAAATAATAATAATTTGGTAATGCCCCACCCACCCCAGAGGATCAGAGCCCAAGCTTCAGCTGGCGCTGCATGTTCAGCTCCTCCAGCTTCCACACTGTGCTCCTCAACCTCCGAGATGATCCTCATCCTCAAACACTAAATCCTGTGAGCTCTAAACATGTTAAAACCACCTTAAACATCTGACTATCACTCAAACCCTTTCCCGGAAGGTCCACGACACTCACTGGGCTGTTCCTTATATTGCTAAAAAGACTGTTACGCTGATCTTCATATATACTACATTTAAAGAGCACATGCTCTACTGTTTCAAAAACACCACATTCATCACACATTCCATTTTCATGCTTCCCCATTAATGCAAGTGTTGAGTTTATTCCTGTGTGTGTGACCCATCCTTAATCTAGAAATCATTACTTCTTCCTTTCTGTGTCTTCCATAAAACTGTTATTTTTTCCCTACTGATTTTACAATATTATAATACCACCTACCTGTGCTGCTATTTTCCCATCTTTGTTGCCATATTCTTATTATTTCCCTATTAATTACTACTGATTTTATCTCATTCCTTCCCAGTAACTTAACATCCACCAAGTTTTTCTTTAAAGCTTCTTTTGCTAACTTATCCGCTGTTTCATTCCCTACTATCCCAATATGTGCCGTAACCAACAAAAGTATACGATTATACCCTCTATGTTCAGTCTGTACAGTAATGTATACATTTCTACTAGCAGGTCGACAATATACTTTTAAGAGCTGATGAAGAATCTGAGCAAATTACAGTCCTATTTGGCTTAATCTGTTCTACCCACTGCAATCCTACTATTACAGCAGTTAATTCTGTAGAATATACAGACAATTTGTCACTTAACCTTAAACTTATTTTCATCTTAAATCTTGGAATGTACACTCCTATGCCCACTTTTTGTTTGATTGGGTCTTTAGATCCATCTGTTTAGATCTGTATAAAATAATAAAGATTTTCTCTCATAAAAACATTGATTTCATAACTATTAGTATATCTTTCTTCTGCTTTTTCCCGGGCCTCCAACAATCTCATTTCAACAATGGGTTCAGGAATATTCCATACCGATACCCCATTTAATGGCATGTTGGGACAGATTTCTTCATTCTCCAGACC